CTAAAAATTAAATTTGACATTAATACATTTCATTTCTTCAATAATTACACTTCTTATTCTATCTCTTCAAGTATTTCTAGATTTGAGTTTATCAATTACCAATCTTCAAAGAATATCTATAATGCGTAATATAATGTGCAATTTATCAGATACCCAGTTTTGTAATGAAATTATATTAAAAATAACTGGTTTAATATAATCTTTGTAAAAGGAATGATCTATACAAATTTGATCCATAGTTTTACTAATTATCCATTCATATGAAAAATCACCTGTTGTTCTTTAAATATTTTACACTATAGATAGAAATATTTGCTATTTGTTACATTCATTCCTAAATTAATCATAAGAAATTTCCAATCAGACGAAAAATAAAGTTCAATTTTCTAATTTATACCCTGATTATCTTTTAATCCTTCTTCTTTTAACATTCTTAACTGATCAAGTAATGGTGCTAACACAATATTTAAAATTTCATATTTTTCAATCCTAGATTATAAAATTATAGTGTAATAATTCTCTGGCTTATACAAATTATCAATGTCATTAAAAATTAAACAAGTAACCATTACTTGTTTTACTTTTTTTCTAACATTTCTGCCATCATCAGAAATTAGCAAATTAAATTTCAGGGTTTGTTATATCTAACACCTTTTTTTTAATAAGATCTGGTATTAAATATTTTAATATATTAATAAAATTCTGTCTTGCTTCTTTTCCAATTAATTATTGCATATTATTAATGATTTCAATGTCATTTATATGTATTTCTGAATTTAAAGAATTATCAGATAATAATGGTACTATATTTACAAGTAAAATTGGTATAACTTCATTCATTTTATGTATAATTTTTTTTCTTTCTGCAGAAACTTTCCATTTGTATAATAAATCATAATAATTGAAGCTAAACTTCTATAGCCTTCATGAATTATTTAACTTTTATCACATGTTTTAACAGTAGTTCTTGCTTTGTGTTTTAGCTCCTCAACATTTTGCTTGCCAATATTAAAATAAAATGATTTTTCTTTAATATTAAACTTAATTGATTTTAAAATAAAATCGTTTTCTAAATGATAACTTTCTGTTATTATTTGATTAAATGCTACACATACAGACTTTACAACTTTTTTTGTTCGATTATTTTGTCCAGTTATTATTAAATTATCAAATGGTTTAAGACTATTGTTTATCAGTAAGCATCTCTTGCTTGCTAAAGTACCTCTAAGTGAAGACTAAAAAAATGTAATTCTGAATAATACATCTTAGTTTCTGAATTTAAGATCTGTTTTAAAGGATTATTTTTTGTATTAGTAATTTGAAATTTAACTAAATAATTCATTGTCATATACTTTAGCATATAAACCCACTATGACTGAACTTGATTTTTCTGATTTTACATAATATTAAAATGCTTTTTCAAAATACATCCAGTAAACTGGAGTTTTCTCTATATATTTGATTACATATCTGACTGATTGCCTTTTCTTAGACTTTTTCTAACTAGATTCAAATTCATAATTATCAGGAATCCAAAATTTTTAACCTTTAGTATATTTAAGACAACTAGTGAGTGAATAATATCCTTTCTTAATAATATTATAGGTATAACTCTATCTAGATTCAGAATATTGAATGATAGATTCCTTAGGATAATTATGAATTTTAATGAAGTTTTTTCTATTCGTTTGTTGATCTGTTTGAAGTGATAAAGGGATTCTGTTAGGTTCCATTTTTTTTAAAAAAAAATATTCTTATTATTATCGTAAAAAAAAAATCTTTTTTTACATGTAATATATTAAATTGTGTGATCAATTATACTGTAAATCTGTAATATGATAATACAATGAACTTTTATGCTATATTAGTTAAAATTAATAAATAAGATAAAATAAAAAATTTTGTATTAAAATTTAAGACGTGCATATTACCAATTAAAATGTATACAGAATAATAATATAAAGTGTTCTTATAGCACTTTATTAATAATAATAAGTATATGAAAGAAAAAATAAATATAAGTTTAGAATTTAGCCCATTAAATTGTAATAAAGTTTTTATTAGCGTTATTATATTTGATTATTATCTAAAAACTATTCTTATCTTATATATTTCTATTTTTTGAATAATATAATTTTATCTTAATCTGCTTAATCTTAGAAAATTTATTTACACGTCTTTTCTTAATAAACTACAATTATACCTAAAACTTTTTATCACATTTTTCATAATATATGATACTCTAAATTATTTTTTTATGCATCATAGGTAAATTTGATTTTATGAAATAACTTTCTGCCTTAATATTACTCTAAAAGTATTAAAAAAAACGTCAGTCTTGCTTCTTTATAATGATATCATAAATATAATTAAATCATCATCATCTCATTTTATCTTCCTTCTATTTGTTTTATATGCACTTGATACTTTAGATAAAGCATATAAGAACCTTATGCACTTTATCCTTTATGATTTTCATGATGCAAATAAGATCTTTAACTTTCTGAAATAAAAGATGTAGTATTAGTACGTTTTTAAAGTAAAATATCAGGAAATTTGTCAAGATAAAAATCTCATACCTTGATTGCATAATTGATCAGACCTTTATTTTCTTTACAAATAATTCTATATTAAGTACACATACTAAGATTCTTACTCATTTTATCTATAAAGATATGTGATATAGCATGAAGAATTACTATGACATATTCATTATGTATAGTCTTGAAGCTTACTAGTTATAGGATATCAAAGATATGTGACCTATCTAAAATTTTAAAATTTTTTTCGTATAATACTTATAAATATTATTAAATGATCTAGTAATAAGAACAGATAGATGGAATTAATACTATCAGAATTAATACCATATTCTACCCTACTCAAGCTAAGATATGATGAATGATCTCAACTTTTTTCCGTTATATTCTTTAATAAAGGTCTGCAATATTTGATGCAAATCACCCTCATGTCATAACTTCTGAGTTTTTCTTCTATTATATTGAGAAAGACACCATTAATTATGTGTGAATAATTTTTTCATTATTACCCATTCATCTTCAAGCTTTCCCTTGCATAAAAAAATATATATCAGTTCCTTAGCAGTATATTTTTAATTTTATCTGCTAGTATGATCATCTTATTTTCCATAGTAATAGTGAAAAGTAGAGAAGGAAACAGATGTATCTATAATATTTGACATAAGAATTATAAACTAAGGTGGTAAAGGGTATTATATTTTAGTACATTAGCAAAAAATTTTTTTTGCAATAAATTTTTTTGCGATAAAAAAACTGTTGCTAAAAATTTTGTATTACTATTGCACAGACACAGCCCATCCTTAATCACCTACTGAAATTTGAAATTTGAAAAGGAAATTGATCTGACTTGATATTTTCTAATTTTTTTTTACAATGCGATCACTAAATAATTAAATAATTTTAATATGTAATACAAAAAAGATTATTGTTTAATTAAATTAATTAAATTAGAGTAAATATTATTAGCTATTTATAGTAAAATGTAAGATCATATGGGCTTCATAAATAGAAATACACCTTTTTACTTAATAATTTATTATGTTATAAGATGTATTTCTATTGATGAAGCTCCATATTTTCTCAGTTCTTACCCTAAAAAAATTGGAGGACTTTATTGATCAGCCAATATATTTTTTATAAAATAATATATAATAATATAACTGCTTAATCAATTGTTCAATATTCTAATAACTATCATGATTTTTTTCAGAATGTATTATTGTTCTTGCTTTATAAGAAAATTTTTTACCAACAGTATTTATTTATTCTTCATTAAATTTAAGTCTTCTGATAATTTCACATAAAAAATCACTAATATGAATCGCTTGACCTTGTCTTTTTTTTTGAAGTGGCTGTTTAGTATCAAGATCCCATCCAGATTTTTGACCATCATTAGTATAAAATAATATTTCATTATTAGTAATAAAAATATGAGGTTTATCCATTTCATTAAGAATAGAATTTATTTGCATTTCTAAATCATTTCCTTCAAAGCGTGGTATTAACTTTTTATATCTATTAAAATAAATTTTATTATATTAATTATTTTATTATAAATAAAAATAAATAAATAAATAAAATATAATCATAAGTAAGAAATTGTTGACAATATTCAATAACATCAGCTCTTTCATGTCCATTAATATATATTTCCTTATGATACCTTTTATATCAAAAACCCATCTTATAAAACTAACGTCGAGCTATACTTTTTCTAATTAAATAAAAAAGTAATTAAAAATATATCTTAATATAAAAGTTCAATAATTAAAAAAAATATTATATATGCGATTTTAGTTTTATATTCAATGCCTAATTTTGAAAATATATTATCTGATATATAATTAATAAAATCTGATAAATAAAATTCAAATTTATTTATATGTAAATAGTTAATAATTTCATAACGTATGTCTACACTATCAAGAAGACTTTTAACTTTAATATGTTTTTCACATATTGAAACAGAAATTTTTTGATTTTGTGCTAACATATGAGTTCACTTTCAAAGTTAATGAGCAAAATATTCATTTTTACCTAATTGTTAGCTGGCTTCCATTTTTTTGATATTTAATTGACAGCATTGACAATATTGAAGTACAGCTCCTAATCATCATTTTTATTCAAGTAATAAAATCTCATCTTGAAGTTTTTTTTTATAAATGGAATTAATTCTATTTTTTACTCTGTAAATGGTAAATTAATATCATTATGACTTTCCAATTCATTTAAACAAGTATCATCCATTTGTATGTTAAGTTTATTTTGTATAAGAGAAAAAAATTGTGTAATAGTATTGCTATTTTGTATGACCATTTTCTTTGTAGCTGCTTTGCGTCTTTTTTGAGTTCAGATACTATTACCTATGTATCAAAGTAGTTATTTAGGTTTGATATTTTTTGTACTGAAAATCAGATTTTTTAACATATTTTCAGATTTATTATCAAGTTCAAAATCTGCTCACATAATCTCATCATTAGAAGATATTTCAGAATCTTTTTTAAATAAAGAACCCTCTTCAGATAACAAATTCTCTTCAAATGGAGAATCTTTGACGATAATTAGCTTATTCTTTAAAGATATTTGTTTTAAATATTTTTTTGCTTTGACTGACATTCTATCATTTTATGGATAAAGTTTTATTTTTTTTTTCTCTTATAAAAGGTATGCAAATTATATACTAATAAAATTTAAAAAACAAAAATTAGGAGCTGGATCATTTTTTTCATTAAAACTTTTATTAAACATTGAAAAAAAAGTGGTGCCAAAGTTTTTAAAGTTAATGTTGCACAAAAAGAAAGCTGCTAAAAAAAGATTAAAACTTTATTTAAATCAAAAATTAATTTTGATATAGTTTATTTCAAAAAAATGCTGATTTTTTAAAAATGCACATGATTAAATAATGTAAGATTGACTAATCATATTCATTTACTTCAGGTGTCAAATTTCATGACACATATTAGAAATAGGTTAACTTTAAATTCTTATTCCTCTTAAATTAGTAATCAAATTATAAAAATCTCTTCATTAATTTAAATTACAGATTACAAATAACATAAAAATGAAGAGATTTTATTTAAAATAATAGTATTTATTTTTTAATAACAAATTAAACATAGCTTATAAAATTTATTGTGACTAGATGATACGAGCCAATAAAATAATATATAATATCATATGATTTATAATGCAATATAGAAAATTTTTTTTAATATAAAAATTATTACAAAATATTTTCTCTTTTAATTTTTTTAAACATGTACTATATATTTAGTGAGAAAAATGTAAATAGTATATTAGATATTAAAGAAAATCTTTAATTATTTTTAAAAAAAATCTGAATTTTTTTCAAAAAACAATCTAATTAACCTTTTTTCAAAGATAATCTAAAAATAACCTTACTTCTAATTTCATAAAAATAACCCTGATGTATTTTTTTAAACTTTTTATAGATTTATTTTTTAAAAAATTCTGTTAATTTTTTTAAAAAAACAATTTGATTAATCTTTTTTTCAAAAGAACCTAACTTTTTTAATTATATAAACAATCTTGATAAATTTTTTTAAAACTTTTATAGATTTTTTTTAAAAAAGAAATAAACTGATTAACCTTTTGTCAAATGAATCTAACTTTTTAATTATATAAGCAACCCTAATGAATTTTTTTTTAAAACTTTTATAGTTTTTTTTTAAAAAATATCAGTTAATTTTTTTTCAAAAGCAATTTGATTAACCTTTTTTCAAAAGGTAACTAAAAATCTTTTTATTACATAAGCATAATCTGATAGATTTTTTTAAACTTTTATAGAATTTTTTTAAAAAAAAATTCTAATTAATTTTTTTCAAAAGTAATTTGATTATTCTCTTTTTCAAAAGGTAATTAACAATTTTTGTATTATATAAGCATAATTAGTATTCTGCAAAATTAGATCAGATTAGATTTTACCCAAATCTGATTTGATCTGATTTTCATTTTTCAGAATCTGAATCTGATCTGAATCTAACAGATCCATTGAAATCCAGATTTGATCTGAATTTGATAAATCAAATCTTAAATTCAGATCTAACGGATCAGTTTAAATCTGATTTAAATCCAAAAAGTTTTATTGAAAAATGATTTTTGATTCTAAAAGAAATCTGAAAATTCATCCTTTTTAATGAAAAGAACTTTTTAGCTCTAAAAAAGATCTGAAAATTTATTCTTTTTTAATGAAAGAAACTTTTTAGCTCTAAAAGAGTCTAAAAATTTATTTCTTTTTAATGAAAGAAACTTTTAACTTTAAAAGAGATCTAAAAATTTGTTCCTTTTCAATAAAAAGAAACTTTTAAAAAAGTTGAATTCAGATCTGATGAATCAGATCTGAATTCAAATTCAAATCTAAATTAAATCTAAATCTGACAAACTCAATCTATGCAAAATATTAAATATAATGATATAGATTATTTTAAAGAAAATCTGATTAATTTATTTTTTATAAAAATTAATTTAATTAACTTTTCAAAAGATAATATAATAATCTTTTATCAAATGTTTATAGTTTTTTTTAGGAAAAATCAATTTTAAAAAAATTTAAAGATTACATTTTTTTAAAAATAACTAATAATTTTAAAAATGAATGATCATGATTACAATATATTTAAATTTTACCAATTTTGTATTTTGTGTATTTCAAATTCAAATTTATTTTTTAACACATTAAAAATTTTAAATATTTTTATCAAATGGTTTTTTACAAAAAAAAATACTTTAATAGTAAAGAAGATATTCCTATTAAATGTACTCATATTATATTATTATTTGTTAAAAAATATGAAATTTATTTAAAATATTAATAAAAATTACAACTAACATAAAAATAACTTGCTAAAATATATGAAATTAAATAAAATATTATCTCAAATATTTTAAGAGATAAATAAAATGGATTAAAACTAGAGCACTAACTCAGGTCAGGTTAACCTGTTTACCTGACCTGACCTGACTTGAAAATTCAGGTCAGGTAAATAAATTTTTAGGTTGATGTCAGATTAGATTAACAGATTAACCTAACCTGACCTGACCCAATAAAAATTCAGGTTAACCAATCATTCAAGAAGAATAATTTATTATTATTAAATTAGAAATAACAAAGTTGATTAAATGAATTAATAATTATTTATTATATTATTATTTATATTAAATATTTTTTTTTTTTTTTTTTTTATT